AAATGAACTTTCTTTTGAATCAATATTGGTTGCAAGGAAAGTTACTGGACTTGGGAGTGGTGGGTGGCAGATCGTTACACGTGGTCACTAAGAGTCGACAACGACTTGATGGCATGTAATCAGTCAAGCAAGATTGTTCCTGCCTATTGTATTGGTTTTCCCTAACGTAAATGTTGATTGCTGAGTATATGATAAGGGAGGAATTGTCCTGGAGTGTTTGCTTCCTTCTTGGGCCTCTGTTCGCTTTTTGAATAGTCTATAGATGAGGTTTAGGTGAATGTTCATGCCTGATCTATCAGAATTCCAGACTTCTAGGAACGTGCTTAGTAATATATTCAATTAAAACATATATTGTTAGAACTATATGGTCCAGGTGCTTTAGCAGCTTCAGAAGTACCTCTAATACTTGGATGTTTAAGAGAATCTGTATTTGGAATAAAACTTACAATTTAATTTTATCCAAAAGTAAAAGAATATAATGAAGGTTAATATATGATCAATGGAATAAGGAACTGGAATATCCAATCTTGGAAAATCAATGGCCCCCAATTTTAAGAAATGTGAAGTATACTTCTTGTGACCTACCGATGAATTCATCAGAAAATTTTGTTACATGTTTACAGGATTCCCCAAAGAATGCTTAAAGATGGATATCAGATTTCTAGTGTTCATGTTACAAGAAATTTGACAGCTCTTTGACTCACATAATTTGGTTGTGTTCTCTTACAGCCCCTCTCTGGTCTCAACTTTCCTATATGTTAACACAGCTTTGCAGGGGGGAATACTTAAAGATGTAAATGTGATGTTGACCTATATTCAAAAATATGTTACCTGACATTCTATGAAGAACTTTGGCTTTCTCAAGCCTGAGAATCGACTAAGAGAATTATTCTATGAAGATGGAAAGAAAAAAATATTCCAGATATTCAGGAGTTCATTCAAGAGATGTTTTCTTTATTGATTAAAATATCTTTATATTGTAGAAATGAAAAATAGAGATTATAGATTATGCTGCTATATAATACAATGATATGTTAAATGCATATTAACAGTACATATGGAATTTTAAAGCTTCAGTTTATTACTATTATATACATATTTTTGCACTTTGCATGTATTATCACTACTACATTGTTTTTATTCCTGCTTGTTAATAAATAAAAAGGTAGAAAAAAATAAGCAGTCAGTTCAGACATCTGGCAAGAACAGTCTCTCCTTTGTCTAGGACTCACTGTCCATGACCTATCTACGTTAGGCATGGCTGGGAATAGTCAAGGGAAAACTGGGGCTCAGGAGCTCAAGAGGAAGCTATTAGTCTAGCAAGAGTCAGAAAGAGGCCATCTCTTCTCTGTAAGGTTTTCATAACTCCTTCTAAACTCGTTTTTTCTCCCAAGGTGATTCTGGCAATCAAGCTTCTTAGCAGCCAAACAGACCATCCTAGGCCTATTGTAGACTTCCACCAGATCATAGTGTTCTTCATTCTTGAGATGAAGTGTGAACATTTGATATTGAAGGATGTGATGGGGAGGCTATCTAAGCCGAGGCAAAACTTCAATGAAATGATTTAGGATGCTCAGGGAGTTTAGCAGGCCCTTCCACATTCTCATTTTATTAGGTTTCTTGGAAAGGCCCCATGCTCCTCCTCCTAAGGTCATCTCCTGGGATCCTCTGCAAGTTGTCCTCTATAAGGGGAGAAAGAGCAAGTGGGAGAGAGAGAGAAGAGGTAATTGTCCTACATAGTTTCTAATTCTGGCCATGATATATACTCAGAATATAGTCCTCAGTAGATTGTCCCTGAGGAATTGAGGTTCTTAATACTTAGTACAATGGAGATACATAACTATTTGTGAGGCGAGGGTCACACTCAGCTTTTGAATGAGATACCAAAGAGTAAATTCTAAAAAGTAGATATCCATGGGGGGAGGGGAGCACAAAGGGGGGAAATGATAACATGTATGATATAATCATGCATATGCTGCAACTTACATGGTTGTATCAGATACGACAACAGAAGAATGTAATTGCAATGTTTGCATCATTATGACATCCTACACGGGTCCTCATTTTGGCATCATTGCAGTTTGCTGCAGACACTGCTAGGTGAGACCAGGATAAATCAGATTGATTCAGGAATGTGAAATTGAACACCTTAGACTATTTAGTTTGGATAGCCAAATTGAATTGATTTTCCACATCAATCTGAGGGAGTGTGATCATCACGAACCACAAGGGTGGGTTTTCTCTATTGCTGCCCTTTTTGGAATATAAATCCTCCTGAGATCAAACCAGCACCAACCTTGTTGGGACTCCGGAAATCCATCAAGACCCAGTTGTTCCAGAAGGCTTTGGGCAACTGATAAGATTGGATCCCTTCCTGCAGTAAAATACAATGGTGGCTTATGTAAGTATTGAGCTGTAATTCCTTGGCGAAGTATGGTGTAAGAACATTATTGCTGTTTATTTATTGCGCTAACCTTTTTAGAATATTAGAAATGTAAGACGCTTAGAGTTGCTCAACACTAAGCATTCTATAAGCTGAAATAAATACATTTCCTGAACTGAATCAACTACTCAAATTGAATTTTTCTTGATTTGCCAGGCCTAATTAATCCAGCTTCCGAAAGTAATTTGAATAGGAAAAAGAGTAAGAAAAGAACCAAGGCAGAATTAATCTCCCACAACTGCTTTTATATTAAAAAAAAATGAATTAGGATATCATTTGAGCTAGCTTTAGTCAAAGAAAGTAGCTAAATTGCAATGCAATCTGAGGACACTGAGTGGCAATAGATGGCTATTTTTGCTAGTTTTCCCCATTGCTGTTTCTTATATCATTCAATTTAAGGATGAGGGATAGAAAACAGTTAACTTGCACCTTTCTGAATTTGTGCTTGCAAGGCTTTAGATTCCTCAAGGGCTATGTCACTGAAGCTTTTCAAGTACAAGTAGTTCAGGCCCTACATCACAGGCCACATAGCTCTCTAATATTAAGGCTCTGAAGTGTTTTATTGATCTGCGATAACCATCAGTGAATGAATGAATCCTTGGAAATACTGATTTATCATACTTCAGTGTACTCCATTAGCATCCACAAATCCTTTGGAAGGAAATAATACACGGACTTGTCCCCATTATTATTTGGGTTCATGCATGAAATAGGGCACAATCTCAACTCCAAGTTCTGTATGATGGAGTTGATGCTCTAGCAGTGGAAGAACTGTGTGTAACAATTGCAGAGATCAGCCATCTTTTCAGGCCTTAGGCATTATTGCATAATTTTGTGGCATGGACCAGAGGCTCTTTCCAGATGACTACATCTCATGGGATTTGGGTGATCTCCCCCAGAAATCACATGCAACATTGCTAAAGTCTTGTGTAAGATTTGGTAATCTTGCAAGATATCACCCATTTTCATTACTTCACTTTGTGGGGTTAGGATAGTACCTACCTAAAGAGAAGAGCATGAAGCTGGCACTGGTTGGTACAGGGATAGAAGATCACCTGGGAATTCTTAGAGATGTTGGCTAAAATGGGAAGCCAAATAACTTCTGGAAAAAGGCAATGGCAAACTACTGCCATTCGTGAGAAAACTGCATGAACGCAATCACCAAGAGTGAAGCTAAATTCAAGGATGTCCTTGATTTTGAGTGTAAGTGCTGTAATTCCCTCTTAAGTGCTCACATTGAACCAAGAGTGACCCACCTCCCTTTGAGTCTAGCCACTTTAATGCCAGCATGTGGATGACAAGATGAGATTATCCACTTTGTATCATCAAAACAATTTTCCAATTATTTAAAACATGTATTTGTTAACAGCCAGAGGTTGGTGGAGTAATTTTCTAAAAAAAAAATTCTTAGCAAACTCACTCCATTGATTTATCACTGTACCAGAAAGAGCTTGGCGTCCACAATTTAATTTCTGGCTGCTGCATGGTAAAAGTCCTGGAGCTGGGCCAAAAGCAAACAAGCAAGCAAAAGTAGCAATGGGATTCTTCTCATCTCACAGACTGGCGTTTCTCCACCTTGGCAACTTTAAGACGCATGGACCTCAACCCCCAGAATTCCCCAGCCAGCAAGGCTGAAAACGCTGACATAGAGTAAGTGTGACTTGTATTGTCCTATTGCCTTCTTTACCTAGATTCATAGTAGTGACATAATATTCAAAGGTTATTTTATTTATATAACTATCAGGCCCAGCCCAAGAACAACAGGGAAACAGTCCAGCCAAGTTCAGTTCTTTATTGCTTACACCATATAGGCAGAACCTTGCCAGACTAAACCTGTACTATGCTAACCTGATAGATATACTCTGGAAGAATCTAGGGAGTGGCCGTCTTAAGTCTCTTCTTCTTCCCACGCTCCTGCTCCGGACTGTGTTGCCTCTTGCCTCTCCTTTCTCCTTCCTGGAATGCTCTCCCTCCTTCCTGAGAACCTGGGTCTCTACCGCATTCCATCATGCCACCTCCCCCTTCATAGATATCTTCCATCACAATAACAGGTTAATATGCTTATTTTTTTTAAAATAAAACTCACTTGTTTTAAATATATTAAAAAGTATTTAACATATTATTGGATGTTTCTCTTTCCCCTTCCCTAATTTTATTTACTATTATAGAAAAATACCATAACAGAAGATACAGCTAGCAACTCTGATGGAGAAAGCTTTCTACAATTAAGGTAGCCAGTTATTCAGACTGAACCCTGCTCCTTTTATGGCAACATATTAGCACATATTAGCCAGCAGAATTTTTCACACAACACAGGCACAAAGCGTGCCCCATTTGGTAGTAACAATGAGTGTTTTCTCCTGAACAATGCTCAGCTAATGCTGGTGGTTTAGGATCAAGTCAAGCTTTAGCCTAAGAATTGTCCAAATATTAGCCCAATATACATGCAGTTCCAAACAAAACTGCTGTTGTTGTTATCATCACCATCATTATTATTATGCCCAGTTAATAGGCAAGTAAAATAAGCTTTCTCTCACTCACAAACTGGTATGAGGCATTTCCTTCTTCCAAGAAAATGGGTGGTGACAGCAAAAACATGTTGCACAACCACAATCAGCAGCTGTGTCATCACCTGGGTAGGAGGGAGGTGAGGTCAAAGGACAAGCTGGAAGGGTCCAGTCCCTTACCATTGTACACCAATATTGTGCCCTTTCTCCAGCCATTCTTTGTCTCAACCTTGAATGCATTTAGCAGAGATTGTGTGATCGTGTGACTTTTAATTTTCAGACACTGCCATTACTCATTTGCTCTTCATAGTTACCAGGACAAATCAGTGTCACTGTCCTACTGCTAAAAGCATTTATGTCCTCTGCTGGCATTTATGAATTAGTTCTCTGTCAGCCTTGTGAGGTAGTCCTGACAGGAAGCACACCAAGAAATACTAGCTGTACTTTACTGTTAGGTTACATTATCAGAATCTTGCAAGTCTGAACATGTATCTCTCCCCCCTCGCCTTTACAGTCCAAGAAACTAGGTAGGGGGGACATTTGCCATGCCTCCATTGTCTGCAGACTCAGTTGCCTCTTATCTGACCATTGTCTGGTGTGTGGCTCTTCCTCCTGTCTCCCAAGGTCATTCCCACATACCATTACAATATCATCTACCTTGTGAATGCAGTATTTTGTGGACTACATTTCAAAATTTTATTGTCTAAGACTCATGTAATATCAAACTTGGAATAAAACACATAACTCTCTGCACATCCATAATTTGTGTGAAAGAGAATGTTATTAATTTTTTCCCTTACAAACTGTAACTTCAAGCAAGTTTACCAATTCTCTGCTTCAAGAGATATATGTGGAATAAAAGCATATATTGGAGAACATTTATGCATTTTACAATCTTACCAGTCTTCTACAGCAACTGTATTTCTACGAAAAAAGGATACAAGTCCCATTCTTGACATCAAAAACAGATCCACTCTGATTTTATAGAATGTTTACATGAGATACTTATAAAATCACTATCAAATAATAGATTACGTCTGTAAGCCCAGAGCCCACCTAACAATCATGGATCTAACAATTTTTAGTTCTGCCATGGTAGAAAAGCATGGATCTGAAGCAAGGATCATCTTGATATCACATGTTTATATGAGACCCACATGAAACCTGGTAAATCACAGATCATGTCTGTCTGCACATAATGAGCCATTGCAGTCATGGTTCCAAAGTGGTACAAAACATGGATCTGAAGTTTAATCCTCTTAATTTCACACAATTTCTTCATAGGATTCTTATCCAATCATCAAATCACAGCATTTTTGTCTGCATTCAATGCTACATTGCAATCTGATATTTTTGGTCCTATCATGGTGCAAAAATGAGGCTCCAAGCTTGATTTCACATGATTTTTAGATAGGATCTATATGATTATACTGCCAAGACACTGAATACATTTGTCTGCATGTAATGAACCATTACAAAAGTTTTTGATCCTATTGTGTTGCAAAAGCCTGGATCCAAAGCCTGGATCTACATGATTTTTATCCAAGATCCAGTTGAAATCACTATCAAAACATAGATCCCAGCCTTTTGCCCAGAACCAGCCATCAAAATCACAGATCTGGGGATTTCTGACATCAGTGTAGTGCAAAGAACGTGGATTTGGAATACAAATTCTCATGAATAATGATTCTATCACTATTTGCCTGAAATATTGCCAAGCTTTAGATCACATCCTTCTAAATAGGCAGAGAGAGAGAAAAAGCACAGATTTGGTAATTATTTTTTTTTTGTGATAATGTGGTACCATCTTTGGAAAGGCCACTGAATATACAGCATGTTTAATAACAGATTTAGTGTCCAGAAGACCATACCACTAGAGTCTATGCAATTCCTGAATGGAACTTTATAAAGCACAGGTCAAGAATTACATAAGCAGATGACTACAGAAACCAGGTGTCACTTGACAGATGCCAGTCTCTGATTGTGTCACAAAGATTATGAAAGATACATTGCAGATAATTTATATGGTGGAAAATGCCATTTTAAAACTGGAACAGATAAGACTAATTTAGGCTTCCTATACAGCGTGCTGGGGATGAAGCAAAGGCTAGGTCATGTACTCTAAAAATAGTTGGTGCAGCATCTCTGAGCTAGTTAGTGGATCTTGTACAAGACTATAGAATTACTTGATTTAGAACACACAGAGGTTTATCCCTACTAATGTAGTGAAAAGAGGAAAAACAGCTGATGGATCTGTTCATTAGCTTATCTAATGTAATGTTCTATGGCATGCAGGGGCCAACCAAGGATCTTCAGATTTTTAAATCTCCTTCAGAATGTCACTTATTTCACTTACTAGAACCAGCACAGGGAGCACTGGAAAGCCATGAACAAATGTCCTCAAGAAGTACAGCAAATAACCTGTATTGTATATTAATATCATGGCTGATATTATTCACTTTCAGCTTGTTTCAATTTAAGTTTCACAGTGGAGCTACAGATCTATGTGCTAGGTTATGTAAAGATTCATTACAAAGGTCCTGATACATT